TTTTTTTAAATTAGCTTCTCAATCATCATCTGGAAGGAAACCATTCTGAGCAACATCATTAAAAACAGCTCTGATAAAGCACAGTCACTACTATGTATCATAAAGCAGGTCCACATATGAGTGAGTACATATCATGTTTATCTTTTTTCAATCACAAATATTTTCCTTGATTCTTCATAGCTGTAATTTTGCCACTGTTTTGGATCATAAAATCTATGAATATTTTTGGAGATAGAGATTTGCCAAAGGGGTCATGGCTGGCAGGTTGAGAACCACTGCTCTAGAATAAGGCATGATATGAAAAAAAAATTAGTAAAATTAGAAAAAAAATGATTAGTCAATTTTTGTGGGTTTATAAGTAGTTATTTTTCTTTTATAGCATTGGTAATCTAACTCAGGGCCTTACACATTCTAGGCATGTGCTGTTATGTTGAATGGTCAGCCATTAATAAGTAACAGTTTGCTGTCTCTGGCTGGTTGTAGAATATGTCAAACTCTGCTTACTATTTCCCTTTTATTATGGCACCAGGGGAGTGTTTTTTTTTTTTCTTTTAATTTCCAGAAACTTATTCAACTGTAGAAGGCATACAAAATGATGCAGCTCATTGAGTCAAAATTTTGTTTTTTAGGCGGGGACAAGGCCTGATGGTAGAGTATTTGCTTAACATGCGTGAGGCTGCCCTGGGCTAGAGCCCTAGCACCAGTGAAAACTAAGATTATGTCACACAGAAGCTCAAGAGCTCTAACCCTCTGTGTTTGTAAAGCTAGTCTGGCCAAGCCTCACTGTAACCACCTCACAGATAAGCAACTGGGGAAGCTGGATAGCAGAGCCCCAGGCCACTGAAATGCAATTCCTACCCTATGATAAAGTACAATGTGAATACAACTGTGTAGATCCAGATGAGTGCCTGGGGAGTGTGTGCCAAGGCAAGTAGGGCTCACATAACAACATGGTGTCAGAATTTCTGCAAGTTAGTTGTTCATCAAGTGGGTCCTGGCATATTAGGGCCTTTTAACACATGTTTTTGAGGTTTGGTCCTCCATATCCGACAGTTAAATTAGTTTTGTGATCAATGGATGAGTATTTTATAGTACTGAATTATCAAAAACCTTTAAAATATATTGCTTCTCTTTCTGTGTCTCCAACCCCCCATGCCCAGACAGTAGTACCCAGTGCTTAAAGCAAGCTTCCCTACTTGCCAAGCGACTCTGACACCTTCTAAATGTTAACACAGTTCTTCATTTTATGGCTGTGGCTTTGAAGCCAAGAGGATCCCTAATTTGAGTTCTTCCTTTCATCATCATTTAAAGTGCCCTGTGGTATGCCAGACAGTTTGTCCAGCTCTGGGACTCAAGTGCTGCTCTTTTCGAGACTTAGCTGTGAGGATGGCTTTAAATCAAAACTATGTAGACTTTAAAAAACTCAATAAATATGATGTCACCTGACTATAGGGCTTCTGGAAGGTTTACAGTGGGGTGACATGGTCCCCTTGGAGCTTGAGAAGTGTCATGCCTGTATCTGTTTGATGATGGGTTGGGATGGGGAGATCCAAGTGGTAGAATGGATGATTGATTGTAGTACAGGCAAAGATCAGAAGGACTGGCAATCTGAAGTTGTTAAAAGTCCAGAGAGGCTTACAGTGCACAATGGCCACTTCTTCCTTTGTGGATCACATGAGCATCTAGTTACTCATCACTTTCATTTGCAGAGTAAAATAGGACCATAACTGGGATAGAGAAGAAATAAATATGCTTAATTAATAGACCTATTTACTATATGTCACTCACTGTTCTAATATTATACTTTACTTAAAATACTTTAAAAATTGCAAGGTAACAATGGTCATTTTGCTCATCAACTAAACATATAGATTATCATTGACAGCACAGGTGCCTCCTTGGGAAATCTTAAATCACAGACTAATATTCAGACACATTAAATACATGTGACAGCCCCTGGCACGGAATTAACTCTTATTCCAGGAGCTATCTACATTTTACCCAAACAAAACCTGAATTCTGGAATAACCAGTGGTTGTCAAGAAGCCATTGGGAAAAACAAAAGACAAAAACCTAGCTATAACAACAAAACCCTTCTCCAGACATACTGGAAAAGCCACATTCCTGATAGGTTTATCTTTGTCTCACATTCTCTTTGTTAGTTCAGTCAATGTGGACAATAAGCTGGGTCACCTTGGATGAGTCAGATAGTCTCTCTGAGCTCTAAGAGGTCTCACTTCTGTCCTGTCAGCAGTTATGCTAGTTGTGCCCTTGAGGTTGTGATAATGAATGATGAGAAGGGCATGTGACAGCTCCTGGCATAGAATATGTTCTCAGTCCAAGAGATATCTGCTTTTTGCTCAAACTAAACCTGAGTTCTGGAGTTCTGGTTGTAAATCAGCCATTGAAAGAAACTCATGTCCAGACACACCAAAAACAAAACACAAACAAGCAACAACAACAACAAAAAAGACTTGTCTCACATTCTCTTTTTAGTTCAGTCTCAAGCTCCTCTTCTCTCTGAGAAGCATCATAAGGAACTGAAGTCCTTTATCACAAATGAAGATGCCAAGGAAACAGGGTTGAAATCAAAGAGCATGTTCTGCTTCTTCCCCTGTCTGTGCAGGGATTCAATGAAAGAGCCTTCTGGCTGGACCTCCCTCCCCAGGAATGCCCTTGCTATTTCCCAGGCACCAGGAATGAAGAACAACCCATAGCTTGAACATGAGTAGTCTATCCTGCTGTTACTAGGAAGGCAAGCTTTGGGTGCCATAATTTCTCTCTTCACTGGTTTTATTTTTCAATCAGATGAAATATATTTTTGTGCCATAATGTAAGCTTCAACAAAAGCTTTAATAGTAGTAACAGTAGTAGTAGTGGTGGTAATAGTAGTAATAGTAGTAGCAGTTGCATGCCCTTCCAGAAATAGAGGAACCCCTGTCAGTAAAGTGCTTCCTATACAACTGTGCAGACTTGACTCCAGCACCCAGTGTCCTCATAAAAGAAGCTGAACATGGCAGCTTGCACCTGTAATCCTAGCACTGTGGAGACAGCAATAGGAAAATCATTGTAGCTAGCTGGCCAAACTAGCTAAGTCAGGGAATTTCAGGGTCTCTGAGAGACCTTGTCTCAAAAATAGGGTGGAGAGTGACTAAAGGACATATCAGATGCCAGGGTCTTCTGTGCACATGTGTCAGCTGTACATATGTCTATTCACATACATAGCATACACACACACACACAAATACAGGCATATACACATAAACGCACACATGCACAAATACACACAAATACAGGCATATGTACAAGCACACACGCATACACACATAAACACACATATGCACACACATATATGCACACACACTTCTTTGTCACCCTGAATTGCAAAATTACATTAATAAGTTAAAAGGTATTATATATTGGCTGCATTTTACATATACATGTATATGTAACCTCCAGTGTTAAGGTTTCCAAGTTGATCACCACAGAGAATCTTTTAGACTAATTGTCTCATATTTCCTTTTGCAATATGCTTAGGAATGCAAAGTGATGAGTTCTCAGCCTTCTTCGGGTTCTTTTTTTTTTTTTTTTCCTTCACAGGAGAGAATAATAGAGCGCTTGAAAGAGCAAAGGGAGAGAGATGACCGGGAAAGACTAGAAGAGATAGAATCCTTTCGAAAGGAGAACAAAGACCTCAAAGAAAAGGTTAATGCTTTACAGGCTGAGCTCACAGAGAAAGAGGTGAGTCTGGAAAAACAAATGTCCCAAATCCACAGCCTTCCAAATCATGTTTGTTGAAGTGGATCTCATGGACGGTCTTAGGGAGCTACAGTTCAGTGTGAAGACTTGGGGACCATGGTGATCTTTCTCTCAGAAGGCTGCCTCAGGTCCAAGGAAAACAGTCCCAGGGTCTCCCTTCATCAAAGATGTCTTTGGGTATCTTGACCTTATCAGCGTGGCCTCTGGAAACATTTTTCTTGTGTTTTACTTTACTAACTACACTTGTATGGCTTAGAGAAGTTTTTTTTTTAGGTCCTATTAGCTTTTGTTTGAAAGTCAGTTAGTATGAAAACAACAACAATAGTTTCTCCACTTCACTTACTAATGCTTTAGTGCGGTATTTTGCATTCATCTGCAATTCTCAAATGAATCACCCAGTATTGCCTGGTTAGAAAACATGACAATGAAGACAAATTTCTAAGCTAACTGTAGCTACTCTTCTGGAATCTTATTTTTTTCTGTTACAGTAAATTATTTAAAGCCATTTACACTATAGCAAAGATGAATATAGAATATAAGTGCCATTTGTGTTTTTACAGTAGGACGATGTATTTTTTTTAAGAAAATTTCCTGCTTGGGGATTCTGGAGCAGCTGTTTGGGGCTGTGGTCACCATGCTCCAGAAGATGCCTTTAACACGTTCAGTATTCTTGAGGATAGTTTGGTGAAGATAAGGCTGAAGCAGTTGTGTAACTTATTTACCCAGTGTCATTATCCTCAGCTGTCCCTGCCACAGTGATTTCTGCCTGCCAGAAGTGTTCAGTCTCTGCAGGATGGCTGAAGCCCCTTTGGCATGCTGGGTCATCCTAACCCATGGTTACCTCTCCCATCTTTCCATGGTTACCCATCCCTTGTGTGTTGATAACTTTATACAAATTACAGTCCTGCCTAAATAGAGACTTAACAGCCAGAAGACAGTCTCTTATCCCTAAAATTGATGCTTACTAGATTTTTAGAAAGGAGATTGTTTCCTTGACATGGCAATAAAGAATTTAATTCTACTTCTCATCACATTGCTCTGCCAGTTCTGACTGGATAGATGTGTCATTTGCGTGCGTCAGAGTATACTAGCTTTACTCTCATTTATAATATGCTTCACTATTTGGATTTGGAAGTGCCTTAAAAATCAACGTGGTCCCTGATAGTGGAAAAGAGACCTTGGTGAGGTGGCAAAGCAGAAACTTCAGATGGAGTTGATTTCATAAGCAGTGCTAGCCACGACTGAGCATCAAACGCACTGGCAGGGGCAGAAACCTTTCCAGACCCTGTAGAATGTACTTGGCATTGCCACTTGGCAAGAAATTTCTGTCAAAAAACTGACCCAGATTAGTCAATTTAACTAAACTAAGGGACTCAATGAAAGGAAATGGTTTCTCCTCTAAGGGAAGCTGGACAAGCCCAACACATGTAATGTGACTACCTGGAAGAGCAGACAAGCCTCTCAGACAGGCTGCTGCTGTAATCCACATGGGAGTGGGAGTGAAGGGACTTTCTTCTCCCACGAGTTTTGCTCCTCAGACCCTTTTTTCAAAGGGTGGATCAAGCCCACCCAGAGTACAGAGGATAATCTTCTTAAAACTTAAAATCAGCTGATTATAGGTGTTAGTCATGTCTGAAAATGTCTTCACAGCACCTAGATTAATAACTAGGCACTATACTGTAACCAAAATAAAGCTGGCCATCACAACTGGCAATTTACAATTTAAAAAAGAACAGCATGGAAATGCAGTTCACAGGGAACTTATAATTTACTTTGGGTGATAATATGGCTTCACTGTGACAAAATGACTGGATTATAATGTCCTTCACTTTTTTCTGTGGAAGTGAAATCAGAGTTGTAGACTGAGTTTGATACTTGAGTCTGCCTTTAATGGCTAAGTGGCCTTGCACAAGACTAACAGTGAATGCGAGCTTCGATTTGCTTTTGTCTTGAAAAATGAGCACCCCTCACCTGTCCCTCAAAGCGTGTGTGGGAGCTTTCTGTTGGGTAACGATCATTACAGACATTCAGTGCTCAGGACACAGTCTTATATAGGGTTAAATCACAGAATTTACTGGGAGAACACCATGTGTTTCCTGTCTCCCTCGATGCTGCAATGTTGATGGAAAACTGACACAACATAGTCAAGTAGGGGTTGTTAGCTGTTTCATATTTCATAATGAACATTGCCCCTATAGATAGTAAAAATTATGTTCAGAGATGTGTTCGAATATCTATTTCTCTAGATTTTGGAATTCCAATTATATAGGGAAGGTCTAGGATTCTGGACATGTTGATAAATAAGCAATATTGGCAGCCCCATATCTGAGTAGGAGATTAACCATATTTATTGAATCTGGAATGCAAAGGACTTGAATTTAGAGTCTACTGTATCCTATTCCAAATACCTTTGTCTTTGGTTTGCTAGAAGATATTTAAAAAATTAGTCATGTGTTTCTGTTAAAGAAAGGGAATTTGATAAAATGCAATATGTAATAGGATGTTTTACATTTATTTGATTTACCCTGAGGAAAGAAGCATCAAAGTCAGTATTTTCTCTCATATCTGTCTCAGAGTCTACACAGCTGAGTTACAATAAATACAAATGGAGAGCTCAGGTGTCTGTTTGGAGAGGTGATGCTTAAAGATCACCACTTTGAGATGTGAAAACTACATTTATTGACCATACCATTTACTCACATTTGATTCTACTGCAAGGAGATCCTTTTCTGTCTTGTAAGCAGGCCGACTTTGTTTCCTGGCTAGAGCCCAGTATTACTACCTTAGTAAAGCTCCCCTTTTCTGTGAATGCATTCTTTATTGCTCTGTGAGCAATCAGTGGATTTAATGTTGCTGCTCTTTCTAGGAGAAGTTGTGATATTTTTCTTACTAGCATTCTCCTCCTTTCAGTCTAGTTTAATCGACCTGAAAGAACATGCATCTTCATTAGCTTCTGCAGGCCTGAAGAGGGACTCCAAATTAAAATCTCTAGAAATAGCCATCGAACAAAAGAAGGAGGAGTGTAGCAAATTGGAAGCACAGTTAAAAAAGGTAAGTGAAGTCTAAGCACAAAGAAGCTCATTGCAGAATGAATTTATAAAATGGTTAAGGAAAAGGCCTTTTTCAAAATAAACAAACTCCTTATCATTTGTTATCTCCTGATGAAAGAATTAGTTAAACACTCAGGAGATTATCAAGAAGTCTGCATCAAATCTGTCTGTAAATCTGAAAACCTATCTTGTTTCCTGTCAAAAGAAAACTTGAAATAGAGAAAAATAGCAAAAATTAAAAGAATAAAAACTAGCCATTACCCTTTGGGAAAATCTAAACCATCTGAAAAGGTGAATGAGGATGTTTTCAGCAAAGGAAAGAATCCAGGGATCTCTTTATATTTTGATAAGCTTTTACAACTTTGTGAAGTAGATCAGTTTTTGTAACACAACTTGGCAAGAATGTTCCTGGCAACAGTCAGTTTCTAGATATTCACTAAAGTAGTCAAGCCCCTGTAGTCAATCATCTGTAGAATGATGATGTATATTGAACTAATAATGGTCTACTGTCTCTGAAAGCATGTTATATCCAGAAGTCTTTGGAAAAGAAAGCAGGGTCTTTCCATTGTGGCATTCACTTGTTTTCTCCAACCTGAACATTTTTGTGGAGTGCATTTGCAGTCATGCATTGTTCCTTTGACTCTTTCCCTATGTTGTTTGGTTCGTCTGCACTCATTGTTCATATAAAACTCATAATGTTATTAATTTAAGTCTTTTGTTCCCCTTGACAACTTATAAACCTAGTCAGAAGAGATAAGAATCTAAATATATAATAAACATATAATAAGATTTGATCTATAGCACAGTAGAATAGGGATTGATTAACAATAGTTATGAAGACAGATGGCATGGATGGCCGGAGATGTGAACAATGCCTGTATATATACAAGAACTATTTTGAATGTGTAACATTTAAATATTCTGTTTTCTATGAACTTATGTAATATAAAACTTCAGTGTAACTATTTCATGCTTACCACACGGGGGTTTGAGAAAATTACCATGAGAAGTTTCACAGTCAGAAAGTCTACTCACTAAGACTCAGGAGGCACATGGAGTGGAGCTGTAGCAATGGCTTATGGGTAAATGGATTAGCTCCTCTCCTCAGCATCCAGGCATGGTGTACTCCTGTAATCCTATTCCTGGGAAGTAGAGATTAGTAATCTCCAGACTCTTTGGCCACCCAATTTACTTAATTGGTGAGCTCCGGATTAATAAGAGATATTATGTCAAAACATAAAAATTAAGGTGGAGGAGCTGCTGAGGGAGACACTTGATGTTTACCTCTGGCCAACATGTGTCTGTACAGGGGCATACATTCATGTACAAATGCGTATACCACACCACACACAGGCACATGGAAAAATAAAGTTAAATATGCCCAGTAAATCTTTTTTAACAACTTGGAAAGAAAAAAATGAAAAAAAATTCACAGTTTTAAAGAGTTTTCTTAGTATCTCCCTTACTTTAAGTAATATTTAGTTAGACAGAAATCTGGACTAGCAAATGTAAGAATTTAAATGGCCCACCTGACAGTATTTAGATGGAGACTTACTTTGCTACTTATGCATTTGATGTATAGTTATTTTCTTAATATATTTATATTGTGCTCTATAATGTATTATGTTTTTTACATAGCAAAAACTGCTTAGTGATGATTAAACATGCTAAAAATAACACTGTCATAGAGGGAATTGGCCTCTGTATGATCTCACTTCACTCATAGTGTGCTGAGTAGTAGTAGAACCTCAAACACACCCCTACCATAGCCTGAAAAATACTCTGCTGAGCTGTTGTGGAGATTAAGGCTCTGCGTGTAGAATTTCTATACATATGTGCTTAATATATGCCCTTTGTCAGTATAACTCAGCATTGGTATTTGAAATCCTCTAGTAACAAAAAGAAGACACTCACATGTTGATGCAGTAGTCTCCAAGTCTATGACTTGATTTGTTTACTGGACCTACATCTTTGCGGTTCAGTCTACTCTGCTTCAGTTCAGCTGTGGCTGGATCAACAGATCACTGACAGCATGCCTTTTCCTCAGACTCCCAGTCAATACCATTGACTGAAATTCACAGACCAAGTCCTGTAACATTTTGGCATGGTATTTGATGACATTTTAGTTTTCTACAATGTCACCAGCACTAAAGTGACACAGATAGTTGTCTTACTGTAAGGGAATTATTTAACTCATGAAAAAAGAACTTATTTCTAAGTATTTATGTAATTTTTAAGTAGTACAGTGAGCCTAAAAAGGTAATGATAATTTAATTATTTTATACCTAACCTGCAGATGCTACATTGTTGTATTTGGATATCTAGTATCGACTTAAATTTAGGGTTAGAGTGGTATTTTTTTCAGTAGTCTCTAATTTCTGCTGATAGTTCCATTAAAACTTCAAGTACCCATCAGTTTAGAAAGAAATGAGTTCTACATGAAATAGTTGAAAACACAGAGCAACAGTATATGAATGTAAACACATCAACATAAACACATAAACCTATACTCAAGGATAAATAAGCAACTCCAAAAGCCTGGATTGGCTTCAACTCCATTTAAATGAAAAGATGTGTGACTTGTGAATAAAATAGGTTTACTAAATGAAAGCTGAAAATATAATTACTTTGTATCATAAATACATCATGGATTTTCCCAGTGGTATTGTATTCAAGATCTGAGATGGCTCAGGTAGTTTTTGCCCATAAAATTCTGTGTAAGTGTTTAAACTAATAATGTTTAATTGAATAGAAACTTTGCCTGCCATTGACAATGGAATCCACATTGGGATTTAACTTATTAATAATGCATGACTGAAGCAAGCTATTTTTTACATAAAAAATTGTGAATTTTACGTACATAGCCATTTTAACACTTTTATATAGAGTTAAGATTTCAAGTATTTTAGAGTAAACATGTTTCTATACAGAAAACAGATTCTGTGAATTCTATTTCAAACTCTTAGAAATGACAAATGTTCATGTGTGAGGAAATCCTACTGATTTTAATGAGTTCATTAAACAATGCTAACCAGGTAAGGTATAATTACTAGTTGTAAGCACAATAATTAAGTCTATCCACCAATGTTAGTATCCAGGGATGGAGAAGAACCTGACTAGTATGGATTGCATTGTCTATCGAATGATTTTTGGAGGTTCAAGCTGTAGAGGTTAATTGACCTGTATCTTGAGGAATTTTCTGCGAAGACAGAGTCCAAAGTGCTATGACTTCTACTCCCTTCTGTTTTCTGATCAATGTCATGCTTCAGGAGACTTTTCCTAAAAAAAAAAAAAAAAAAAAAAAAAAAAAAAAAAAAAAAAAGCATGTTAAAGTCATCATTTGCTCTCCTCAAGTTGAAGAAACAGGTGTCCTGTCACTAAAGGAGTCTCTCAGCCTAATACCAAATAATAGTTACTGTCATATTTCACCTTCTAGACCTCAATCTTGAGTCTCAAATTAATGTGTAGATATTTAACAAATATAATCTGTGAACACTGTTTACAAGTAGTATTTAGGACATTTAACTGTGCACAAAATTGGCAGGAGCACATTATAGACTCTAAAGCACTTGGAACATAATAGGCATTCTTTCAAAATTGGAACAGTAGAAATTGGTAATAGGCAACACTGTTTTGTGGTTCCTTTCACTTTTTCTCCAGGCTTGAATTTTCCTTTTTAGTAGGGACTCATATGTCCCTACTCCTAACCTCTATTTAAATTAGACACCAAATAGAAAGTTTAGGCTCATGATACTACCAAAGAATAGCTATAAATTCAATGATAAGATTTAATTAATCTTTTATTATTATCATCTTTGAAGTTCAGGTAATAAATTGTAGGCTTGGCCCAAAGTACTTCTGATTCATTGCTGGAGGCCAGCACTTCATGTATCATCCAAAGTGGACAGTTTTCTTTATTTCATGGGCATTTAACTCGAGAAAGGGAAAGGAACACAAACCTTAAATTTCTTATTCCAGCTATTCTTTTCAAGGAGCCAAAGTCAACACTTGTATTTCCCCAGAGCCTTTCACTTCTACTGTGGAATGTTTAGAAACTGAAATCTCTTCTTTTTGAAGAGCAGCGCGTATGTGCAAGCGCTGGGATTGCTGAGCTAATGCTGTTTCTCTGGGTCTCTCCTTCTTTCCCTGTCTGTGCTGCAATGCCTCCCCACCTTTGCAATGTAGCAAGCTGAGCAGTTGTTCAATCAGATGTACAACCCAGTAAGTCATCTCTGAAAGTTCCCGCTGTAACATATCAAAGCATGAGGATCCACTGAGCCCACGTGACAGTGTGCCACGTTGGGGATGTTTCTAAAACACTAATCAGTCTCTTCCCACTTCCACTCTGGCAAGAGAAATGATCTACACAAAGCCAATGTCATTTCTTTCAAAATTTAAAAATTGAGAGGCCAAGGAAATATGGTCATCTTTGACATTACCTTCTTCCTAATGTCAGCTCTCAGGCAACAAAACAAAACAAAACAAAACAAAACAAAACAAAACAAAGGCTTATAGAATTGTTGGTGAGATCCTTCAAACTCAGGCTTCCCTGAGCCACGGGATAGCATTTGCAGAATAAGCAGCAGCTCACGTGTGTGCTGTATCTATGAACTCAATGTTAAGCTGGCTTTTGCTTTAAAATCTAGGCTGTGCTCTTAGGGATTGGTAATTACCTAACAATAATGTAGGGCTTGTAAAAGTTCAAAACATGTCATTTACCCTAGGACAGATCATAACATAATCTATTAGTAACAGATCATAGATAGCAATTCTGACTTTAAGTTAATGAAATCTGAAAAGCAGGTAACTAGTTCCAAATTAATAAAGTAGCTCATATGTCACCAGTAGCTTTTTATCTTAATGACATGTACATGTATATGAAATATTTATTGCTTTAGTTTTTTAGGAGGGAAAGAAGGAAGGAAGGAAGGAAGGAAGGAAGGAAGGAAGGAAGGAAGGAAGGAAGGAAGACTTTTCTGTTTTGTCAGCAGACTGGCTTACTAGGAGGCATATTAAATGACTGTAACTAGAATGCTTCACTTGCCAAGTGTGATCAACAATGCACTCTAATGATCTTCTATTTATAAATACCCATCACAGAAAAAAGAAATGCCATGCCTAAAGGAAGCAATTCAGTCAACACAGTTTTATTTGTTAAGCCATGCTCCACCAGCTTACATGGTGATGTGCAAGATGCCTGAATATATTTAATAGATTCTGCCTGGACCCTTTAGTTTACTCAACAAATACATTTGCAAACACAATCCTAATGCCCTGCTAGAACATTCCCTAGATAGATTTTAGCATAAGTAATAATAGGTAGGCTCAAGACAGTGGAGAGGTGAAGAAAGACACCCCCAAATCAGAGTATCTTGATGCTTGAAAACCACCCTGATAAAAGTGCGTGTTTTCTTGTGAATGTTTCTACAACCCAACCATAAAACTTTTTTTTCATAGTTACAAGTTAGGGACAAGAGGAAAGTCTAAATTTGTAGTGCTTTGTGTGTATGAACACAGAGGGATTGATGTGTTCCAAAGCTGGATAAAATGATCAGGACAGTAATTGGAGTTCACTAGCCCTTGTCAGAGTAGGTAGGATCAAAGAAGAAATGACTTAATGACATTGCAAAATTGACCATCCTCAACTTTCCCTTTCTCTTCTACCCAGGGCCAGGCCTTTGCTATTCCAAAGAAACTTTGCAGTCTTTTAAGTGACTAATTCAAAGCCTTAGACTGACATTCTTCCCCATGTTAATTAAACTAACCAAATGGTTTGGCATCCTGGGAATAAAGCCAGCTCTCCTTATTTTAACTTCCCCTGTCTGCAGATATTCTCAGGATGCAGTTCTTTTTTTTTTTTTTAATAGGGATGCAGCTTGATGGGTTTTTCTACCCTTAATAGTCTTAAAAACTGCCTGAGTTTCTCCTAGTTATAAAAGTAATATATGGCCATGGTATTGAAAAAGTAAAGAAGGATATAAGATAAGATAAAAAGAGGAAAAGGACAGCTCACTGCAGACGTAGCCAGGAGAAATGTGCGTATGTGTGCATGTTCCCTTGCTAGGCACCTATGTGTGCAGAATGTTACTCTTCTTTCTTTCTTCCTTTTCTTCTTCTGTCCATCTCCCTCCCTCCCTCCCTTCCTCCCTCCCTTTTTATATCTTATGTTCTTACAATAAAACATTAGAATTCCCTCGTGGTTCTGTACTCTCTAGTCTATTACACTGATTTTGATTACACATATCCCTGTTTTCTTCAGTTCTACAAATAGAGCTGTGACAAATCCCCCCAGCACCCATCTATCCCTTCCATTTCCCCTCCCTCCTCCTCCACATCTACCCTTCTCTATCTTTCCTTCTCCCTCTCTTTTTTCCTCTTTCATAGAATAAAATTCTGGATTAGTATTCTTGGTCTTCAAGGCTATCTCAACAGTTCTTGCTCAGTTGTACTTCAGAGAGACTTCTCCCAGCAGTGATTAAATGTGACCTTGTGACTTTTTTTTAACCACACCCTGGCCCATACCACTGAGAACTGCCATTTTACATAACTTTAAAAAATCTTTAGATCATTTTTCTCCTCTTTAGTTACTAATGTGTTTTGGGTTTTAAAATATATTGTTAGCTCAGTACTTTTTCTATTGAAAACTAGTCCTTTGGCCATTTAAGCTCTTGTCCTTGATTTACTGGTTTGTTCATTGTCCATATGAGCTGTTTTCTGTTCTAAAAGCAGCTTTTTCTAATATTATTGACAATTTTGTTTAATTTTTAATAAAGATATAATTGTATTGGAGCTTTTGGCCAAAAGGAATTTTTAAAATTTCTTCATTTTTTTAGTCTTTGAAGTCATTCTCTGACTTCACTCACATGTATTAAAATTTTTCAATGCTAATTTTTATATCAGTGCAACTCTTATAATCTGTATTTTGATTAATATTGAGAGGTAAAGTATATTTTTTGGTGGGGGAGTTCGAGACAGGGTTTCTCTGTGACTTTGAAGGCTGTCCTGGAACTAGCTCTTGTAGACCAGTCTGGTCTCGAACTCACAGATATCTGCCTGCCTCTGCCTCCCAAATGCTGGGACTAAAGGTGTGCACCACCACCACCCAGCTTAAAGTATACTTTTTTAAATTAAAATTTCATTGCTTGTCAAGTGCTCTCTGACCTTGATGGCACTGTTTTATGTATTACACTCTTGTAGGGACAAAGGTCTCAGTTCCTGAGCAACAGTTCAGTTTCAGCTGTGTCTCTTGTTCTTGGGTCAGAATCTTAGCTCTTGTGACTTTGTGACATTTAAACATCTATTGGGACACATTCCAGGTTGTTTCTCCCTTTTTTTCTTCTGTCTTTTTTGGGAGTCCCTGGATTTTTACTTTTAATCTTCTAGGTGAATTTGGGGTGCATTTTTGTCAATTAAAAACCATGGTTGCTGGTGATTTTAATTTGAGTCATATTCATCCTATGTGATAATTTTAAGAGCCAATGATACATTTCTAATATCATTCCTTGTCATTCATAAACATGATCAAACTTTTTTATTTTTAGTGGTTTTCTACAGTAAAGTTTTGACATGTTTCTATGACAGACCTGGGGTATTTACTTTTCCACCTATTGTGAAACATATGCACATATATAATTTTTAAGCTGTTACAGCAACCAATACATTTCTCCTTTTATTTTCTAACCAGTTTTTGATATTCAGGAAGTTTTTGCTCTTGTGTGTTTATTTTGAATATGACCACCTTTACAATTCTGGTGAATTTACTATAGTCATTTTGGATGCACAGGAATGTTCTACATAAGCAGGGTGTAGTGTAGCATGCCTTTAATCCCAGCACTGGGAGGCAGAGGCAGGAGATTATCTGTGAGTTTGAGGCCAACATGCTCTACAAAGCAAGTTCCAGGATGGCTAGAGCTATGCAGAGAAACCCTGTCTTGAAAACCAGAAAAAGCACATACTACAGTTACTACAATGTCCATGTGTCTTTTCTCAGGGTGAATAAGGATTGGGCTTTGAAGTCTTTCTACAAATATGTTCTGGAATACAATAAAACATTTGCTTTCTTTTTTTCACATAGCTGGTTCATTCTGATAATAATGTGCTAATGTCACTTCATAGGAATTAAACTTTTCCATTTGAATCCTTACTGATTCTCCTAGTAAGAACCTTTCTTCAGTTAGTTGCCAGCCTCCAATCCCAGAGGAATTTATGCAGGTTAACTTCAACTGAACCCTTTTTTTTCTTGGTTTTCAATTCTAGACAACAAATAGTGCTTCTCATTGGTTTCATGTGCTATCTTGGTTATAGCTCCAGTGCCGTTGGAGATCACATCCAGAATTCTTTCATATATTTTAAAAGAATCTTTAGCCTTTATGGGCACATTGAGTGCTTTGTATCACGTTGCTATAGTACACTGAGGCCACCTTGCCACTGGCAGGAGTGCACTTGAAGCCCCTCTGATTTGCTCCAAGGATATTCCCCTAGCTAGTCACTATCCATTTGAAATCATCTCTGGTAAACACACTTTGTGCAGGACTCACGTTTTATTTAAAGACTTACAAAATTAACAAACAAACAAACAAACAACAGCAGCAAAACTCAGGCATTCGTTCATTATACACAGAGAAAACAACTCCTTAATGTTCAGGGAGACTCTCCTGTTCAGTATGGCCTTTCGGGACTGTGTGTTCCTAAAGACATGGTGTGCTGAGTCTAAATGTCTCCAAGGCCATTGTTTAGACATAGCAATTTCCCTTTTTAAAGTCTATTTCATAAAAACTATTTGATTTACTCTTAAACTAATATTTTATGCCATGGTAGAAAACTACAACTATTTACAACTAAGAGATAATTCAGGGAATTTAGATGGTACATGTGAACACATGCATGTACACAAATACATATCCAACAAATGATGCAGACTTTCAATGTCAAAAGAACTCAAATAATATTCCAAATGACATTATTTAAATTTACATGTTTTATTTCAGAATTTAATTCTCAATGTTGCTAATTTTCAGAAATTCCATATTTAAGAGGAATTATATTAATAATTTCATTTTAATTTGATAGGTCTTACAATGTATTAAGTATATAGTTTTTTATTTTTGCATGCATTTGGAGTATTTGTTTTTATTTATATGTATCATATTTGTTTCATCCATGAAAAGAAATTTTTGACATAGTTCTACTTTGATTGCAAATGTTCTAAATTTAGTTAGATTGAATTTTTAAAAGAATAATTTCCTTTAGAATGACAAACAAAAGATTCCAAAACATATCATTATTACTTTCAAAATATGTTACTTAGGGCCAATAATTATGTCTGATATTTACCCGTTTTTATTTAAAACAAAATTTAAGTTTTATATGTGATAGTTCTGTAAAACATAATGAGTCTATTTTGTTCATAATCTAGAATTATGTCAATGTCTAGAATAATTTATACCTCATCCTGCTATTAAGATATGAAAGGAATGTTGAAAACACTGTCTGTGGACACTGAGACAGCGGAGTGCTGTACCTGAGAATCATATTTTCACAGTGCATAAATTTAGCAAATTACTGCTGAAGTCTAGAAGCAGCAGGGAAGAAAAATCAACAGCTTTATTACCTAATAGTTGGCTTCTACTCTGTGGTTACAACTAATCATTGTTTTTGAGGGAAATAATTTTTATTAAAAATTGTTGGGGCCCATTTCAAAGGAAGTGTTATATAACATTATAAGTGAATGTCTCCTGCCTTGTGTCACAGCAGGGTTCTGGACTGAAGTTAGTGCTCTCCTTTTTAGACATCTGGAATTATGGACTAGTACCCTACTGAAAATAATCAGTGTCCATTTATAAGATTAAGTGCAAATAAGCTTGAGGTGTGTGAATATGATACTTGCCAGCTCCTAACTTTGGCGCTAAGCACACTTTTCCTACATTGAGACACATCAGTCAGCTAAAATCCTGTTTTGTTCCTGATACAGTATACAGTTCTGGTAACTTTCATTATGATATCTTCTAGTATCATGATGTACTGCTCATCCCCAGACATGACGAGCTGCCCTTTGTACTTTATCCAGGCCTTTAAAGTCAGTTTTCCTCAAAATGCTGCTGGTGGCCCACACCAGTGAGACTTCTAACTTTGTTATTATCATTTGTAGGGGAATTTCTATATATTTGGAAGTACAAGATACATAGTGTAGAGATCCCCAAATGTACAGGACTTGCATGTAAGGCTGACATTTCTGTCATGTTCTTTACCAATTTTCTGATTTTCTACAGTACACTTGAGAGTTAGTCCAAGGATTCAAGTAACATTTTGAGATGGAACTTGATACCCAGATTTGCCTTTAATGACCTCAAAAGTTTAATATCTATATTAAGAAATGAATGAATATCTAGAAACTGGAGGAATGTTCTTGTGAAAGTAATCTTGGCCATATTCCTGATAAACGAATTCTGGAAAATAGAACACCAGTCTGTATTTTCAAGAATTAGATTCCTGATTACTTAAGGTAGAAACAGAATAATGTGCCTCAAAGAAGGGAGTGGGCCAGTTCTCAGCTGGACAAGCTCTGGTTGAACCATCAGGTCCTCAAGAGGAAATGATTGCTGTCCATTTTCACTTAAGTCTTCAATACAGAAGAATAATGCCATTGCAGTAGTTTGTTACAATGGTGTGGTATTGAAATATAAATCCATTTGTCTTCTGCCTGAAATATCTAAACTATATTAGGCTCCATCTATTATCCACTTTAGCAGGTCAAGAGGTGCTAGTGTAGATGCAGCAACTTTTTTCATAATTTGAAAAAGCAACAACCTACCTATCTGTCCATTTTTAAAGGTGGTTATGGCCTTAGAACTTTGAAAGAAGAATTAGCTCTATAAATCCACTATTGTCCCATAGCTTTTGATGTTTAGCATCGGCCCCATGGCTGTGGGTCAGTTCAGCACATTCATTTTCTACTGACTAAAAAGTGCAGCCTGTCCTCTAAACAGTTGCAATTCATGTTGAGTAGAACTACTTAACTCTAATAACTCCTAGGAATTTTATGCAGACTTTTGCCTTTTGTACTTAGACTAGACTGGGGACTCCCAAATCTTTCTAGTTGTTAGGAACTATCATTGCCATTGCATGAACCCTAAGAAATGATCCAAGAAAGAGTTTCATCATGTCCTTAGACGAGTCTTTCTTAAGGCTTTCTGTTTATGTGAACATTTGATAATGCCATCTATTTCCATGTCTGTCAAAAAGCCCCTCCCAGAATTCTTTAGGGTCAAAGGTAGTCTGGCATAAATTCCTTTTTTTCTGAAATCAGTAGTCCTGTGTTAGAGATAGAGAGAAATGGATTTTAAATATTGGTAATAATGAAGTTGAATAGTCACTTACAAAGGAAGGATTACCAGCATTTCCAAGTTTTATCTAGTAGACTTAAGCCAGCTATGAACTTGCCAATAGGTTTTAATAATGTGACCTACCTTTAGCATTGCATGAAGTCACCAGTGGTACCTTCAAGAAACAGGGTTGTTGTTTTTTTCTAGATTTCTGTTTGTCTACAAATCCCACGAGTCCTTTATCCATACTTATTTGGCTGAAAAGAGTATAAACTTATCTAGTTTCACCCACTGTTAAAGACTGGTCTTGGAGTATCATCCTCAGGATCAAACAAAGGACATGAAAACCTACCAGGAACAGACTACATATGCTTCCTAAACCTCCAGAGAGACTTCTCTAATGACTGTGTTGATGAAAATTGAACAAACCTATTAAACTAGTTGCAACAAGTCTTATACCTGTGATTATTACAAAATAATAATCATAATAGAACATGAATATTATCTTCTAGATGTCATTTTCTAGTTTTTCACTGTCCTTAGGAAGTATGTTTGATTTGCCTGCTGACATAGGACATAGGGCAAATGAGATTTAGAACTAATGTCTTATGGCTACTAGTCATGTATTTGCTCATTAAAATCATCATCATAATAATAATCCCAATAATTTGAAATAAAATAATATAGACTATCATACATACCTGCTAACCTTTTGTCAATCTTAAACATAAGAGATGGGAAGGAATTTTAATCTAAAATATGTTTATTCATGTTTCTAGTTACTCAATGCTTAGTTCATTAATTGTTTTTTAATATCTTAATGGCATTTATTGGAGAGTTGAGAATGATACAAAAAGATTTTTAGTTGTCATTGGATACTGGTAAGTCAGTCTAACAATGGAAAGGGATAAATAAATTTTAGCTGTTTAAAAATGATGCGTTTCTGCTACAAAAGGATTTGAATTAATTTCATTACAGCTAGAAGTAAGTATATAGTTAGTTCATTTCAAACTGAAATTTTCTTTTCTAAATTATTAGAGCAGATGTTAAGCTATTTAAATATTTACCTTGTATAAAAATATAATTATTACAGGAATAAAATCCTAAAAGCACATTAATTCATGTTCCTTTATTACTAATATTTAAAAAGTACAACAATCTATTGCAAAGAGGCCCAGAATGCACACTAAATAATAATAAAAGGCTTTTGAGGTGTGTTGGTGAAAGGGAGTTACCAGTTTTTAATAGTATGTTGGACTGATGGATTTTTACAAGTTCTTTTTCATAATTGAGTTTATTTCTTAAGGAAATCTTAAAGAATATGAAAAATTATTTCCCCTTTATCCTCATGCTTAAATAATATGTTACATGCAAAAATATTATTTAAAATAATTTTGTCATGAGTAAGAAATTTATTTTATTTATACCGATTTTTGGATTTTTTTTACTAAATCATTGCAAAGACTGTCAACCTTCTAACAGTAGTATTAGTATTAATTTTTCTAACCATGCATGATCCATTTAACTCCACAGTAACTACAGCTTGCTTGCCTCATTTTTTCCCTGAATTTAAAAAAAGACTTGCATAAAAGCACAGTGGACAGTGTTCCACATAGCTGCAAAGTTTAATCAGTTGTTGATGTTTTATTACTCCACACACGGATTTTTTTGAGAACCATATGTGTATAACTTCTCTGAACTTTCTACGTTGAACATGCACCATTGTTAAACTACTTGTTTTCTCCCTGCCTGCTCTTTGATGAAGCCAATTAGGAATAAAGGGAAACAAGGGGTAGGCAAAACATTGCAGTGCAGTGTTCCTTCATCTGTCTGGGAATATTTCAGCCAAAAGTTTATTTTGGGAAAAATAAACTATAATGCATCCACATACACACATATACATGCACACAAAATTGCAAATACTTTGGCTGCAAATTATTCTACAGTGATGTTGCTTGTTCTTGACTATGTCTGTTGTGATGTGTACAGCTGCTATCTACTCATGCATGTGTTTGCAGAGTCTTGTCTGTGTGCTTGTTCATGATCTAGCTCATCTCCTCATGGGTTTAGGTTAAACCTATTCAAGTAAAAAAGAATTTATGGGTATGACTGTTAGCTAGAAAGCCCTTCCTTACTTCCAAACTACTTCTGTTGGTATTTCTCATTAGGGTGATATACTCAGTGCTCAGTCAACCAGTCTCCTAAATGCTACCTGGTTCTACATATGCCCTTCCTGGGCCTTGGAAACAATTTACCACTCTGCCTTTCAATTCTCTTGAGTTGGAAATGGAAGCATTTGATGTAAATTGCCTTGTGAGGAATAAGAACAAAGACAGCAGTCTCTTCCTTCACCTGTTCCCCACATTTTGGTGGAAAGGAAAAGTCAAAAGTAGCAAAATTTAACATAACAAAAATCAGTCATAGAAGAATCTACTCATGGAAAACTATCATATATTTTAAAATCAATATTATCAAGGTAGCTGAAATACATGGTTTTTTCCTCCAGTTTGCCTTCTCACTGACAGAATGCCCATAATTCTTGTTTGTTATTTTCTCTCCAAAGTTACTTTCTGGGCCATTGGTGACTACACTGTCTTTTGTTCTCAATCATTGTCTTAACTACATTCTTTAAAAATGTAATGTTGAAGGCGCATAATATTGAAGATGACTCCAGGATGAACCCCGAGTTTGCAGACCGACTAAAGCAGCTTGACAAGGAAGCATCTTACTATCGTGATGAGTGTGGCAAGGCTCAAGCAGAAGTGGACAGGTTGCTGGAAATCCTAAAGGAGGTGGAGAATGAAAAGAATGACAAAGACAAGAAGATTGCGGAACTTGAGAGGTATGCTCTGCATCCTGAGAGTTGTCAAAGGCGAGCAAATTCTGATGGTGTGGTGTACATTCTGAGTTGTGGTACAGTTGAAATGCACACTTTTACACTCATATCACAAATGTGAAGAATATAGCCTAATGGGCAAGGGATGATGTTGTGTTTCTGTGGAATAGCACAGAAGCACCTGGTTTATCTTCTGAAGGACTAAGTACCTTTTCAGTGTCTAGGAAAACAATGCCTGGCTTTCCTGAGGGTCATCTCTGATCCAGTACTTGTGCCAACAAAATTTGCAAAAATTTGGGCTTTGGCTATCTGAAACCTTAGTTCTTTCCTATTAAAGATGAACATTTGTGGTTTTGGTTTGTCATAAGCAAAAGAAAATATGGAGAAATATAGCTGGAATTTCTTCATTCAAGATAAGAGGAAGGGGGCCTCATGTCTTTTTGGATGTATTTTGGCACACCACAACAAATTCTTCTTTGAAATTTATCTTTTAAGAGGATCTTAGACTATTTGGGAAAATAAATGGAATTAAATATGCTTGATTAGGGTCTACATGATCAAAAATTCAGTGTAAAACAATGGATCTAAACCAGGCTTCCAGTGTTTTTAGGTTCTGAGATAAATCGTACCTGTATTAAATTAATGAGTAGTCTTGTCACTAAAGATAAGCTTATTGTTAATGCTCTTCCCTATACTTCTGTAAGAAGGAACTTTCTGAATACTCTGGCATAGCTCTTTATAACCGCCAAAGTCTTCTCATTGGTTCTGCAATAAGGTGGAATTTGTTTTCCCAGATTCAGTCCATATGGAAGAGATCAGCCAATTTTGAATAAATCAGTGAATGTTTGCCAGCTTGGACGGAGACACTTGTGAGGCACTAAAGGACTTCAAGACGTACAGAATAGTCTCTCTGGCCTTACAAGAATGATAATGGGCTTTTGCTAATGAAAGACCTGGGTTCAGATTTTACATCTGCTATGTGCCAGCAGTGTGGTCATGAGTCCTGTGAAAGCTGAATCTCTACAACCTACTAAAACGTATTCTGCTTAGTTTCCACCCAGTTTTTATATAAAGTGGGACACTAACCTCATTATAAAAAGCAGAATGCCAAAACAAATGAGTCCTCAGTATTCACTGATGGCATTGAATTGGCAGATTATCCACAGAATAATTTCAGCAATGTTTTCAATATTCTATTTGATTATCCAAACACCAAATTTATGAATAATTCTTTTAATAATCTTAGTCTTTTTGTTGATGCTTTATTAAGTTTGATTCAGTGTGACTAATTTTAGCACTTAAGGCAGAGTTCTTTTTTAATGTGATAACTGTGTAAATTTAAATCTACAAGAGTAGACTGGCAAGATGGCTTAGTAGATAAAGGTGTCTGCTGCTAAGTCCAGGATGGATTTCTGGGACCCACTTAAAGAAAAGTGGGACCCTTGCCCTCTGATTTTCAAACACATGCTCTGGCACATACATGTCTCTTCCCTAATACACATGAACACATGCATGCAAAAGAAAAATTTAAAGCATAATTAAAATTAAAAGGAATCTCCAAGGGCTTCATTTTAACCTCAAAGTGTGGGAATGTTCTTCCAGTCTGTTGTTTCTTAAAGATCTTGAACCACGGTTAATTTTAGATAGATCTACCTACACGGGTATTTTGGATTACATTTCAGCATCAGTTTTTCTGAAGAAAAAAAAAGCTAGTATGAGATGACAAAGAGTTTTTGACCATGTCTTCTTGTTACAAAACAAGACATTGAAAAGTTGAATGGCCTTCTGGTCACCAATCCGATGGTCAGAGACAAGCAGCTATAGGTCGGTTTGCAAACTTGTAGTCTACTTTTCTGAGAAGCAGTGATCTCAATGGACGATGTCCCAGACAACAACACCAATATTACAGTAATAGCAAATATATAGTCATAAAGTCTATATATTTCATGATCACTGTATGCTGGACACTCTGCTGAGCATTTAACCTGGAGTATCATATTTGACTTAATCTTACCCACAGAAACTATCATGGTCCCTATTTTACACATGAGGAATCATGAGTTATACATGTTCAGTAACTTCCCAAAGTTTATAGAGCTCAGAAGAATCATGATTAGAATTCAAGCCTAGGGTTAACCAATGAGCTGCTGAGAACAGTGCCTTCCACCAAGGCACAACATAGACAAACTGGTCCAGTAGCACTGAAGTCACTCAGGGAGCCAGAGGATCCTCCCTGAGCAGACCTTGCAGCCACATGAGCCCCACCTTTTCATTTTATTAGTTTCCATGAGAGGGAAAGTGATGCACTGCATGTTTAGAAGGCATTTTTTGTTTCTGCACTAAAGCAGTCCCTGAGAACTGTAATTGAAAATCGGGATCAGCTACTATAAACATTTACATATAAATGGCTTAATTATCGAGTTGGACAAACAGGTCTTAGTTGGTCTGTGTAGCCATTAAATCATCAAGAATATTCACAGTTTTATTTCTTCAATATGGAAAGCATTAGAGCCGCAGTGATTTTACAGGCATTTATCTTTATGTACTTTCTGCACATTTTCTTTATCTCTGCGTTTGCCTCTCCTTAAAGCTGATGCCTCCCAGGCACTGTAATTCATAAAACATGTGCTAGGGCTTGACTCTGTCCCAGGTCTCTGCCTGCCTGCATCTTGGGTCCAGCAGCAGAACACAGTCTGGGAAATGTCTGAGCCCCAGCCCAACCTGGGCCTCTCAGAGATGGGGGTGGAGATCCAGCGGGAACTATCCTGGGAAAAAGTGGGCCCAGCCTTGGCCTCTTTCTGAAGCATTATCTGCTGGGTTGCATGTGTATTCATCCTGCCAGAGCATCTTCCTCAACATTGTCAGGCAGTCCTCCTCACATCAGCTAGTATCTCTGTTTGCTGGCTGAAACTACAGAATTCATACCTCATAATGTTGAGAGCTAAAGATTTTTAGCATTATGACATATATCTCCATTTTGGAGTCATGGAGAGTGCTTGCAATTAAGTTTGTGATTTTGAAAACCAAAATATTGAACTTGAAATGAATTTGTGGTCTCTGGCTTGTAATGTGACCTACCAGAGCAAAGAGCTCTCTTTTTGAAGCAGCTCATGTTCTAAAAGGTTCCAGAACTTCTGTCACATGCAACAAAACAGTTGAGGTTAAGAATGACTCTGATGCCCTGACACAGGCCAGCTTCTCTCCAAGAGGGCAGGTTTTTTTTTTTTTTTTCTTGTTCTGTTCATCTTATTTTCAAAAATTTCTCCACCATGGATATATTCTGCATAGCATACAGCTGGCATTCCCAGTGACTTTATCCCTTCATTTCTACAAGAATGCTGTTTCTCATCAGCCACTATAGATTCATCTCTTTAAGGTACATGGTATGGTACATTGATGTGTGTGTCCTGTGATGAATTCTTGTACTGAATGCTGATGTTCCAGCTGGAAGCTTCTGCCCCAGTTGTCGGCTGCTCTGGAGGTATTTGCCATAGAGACAATGGCCTGGAGCAAACCTGAGAGTTTGTCAAAATCAGGCTGATGTCTTTGTTCTGTTGTCATGTCAGCTGTTGTGTACACTACACAACTGAGCAGCTGACTGAACCTTGGAGATGGCAAAAAACATTGCTCCTCTGTGTTACTGCTCATCATAGTCTTCAGACTTTATTTAAAGTCTTAGTTAATCCTTGGTGCCTTGTGAAGGAGAGAGGTTAATTGAGTCTGTCAAGCAAGGCCTTCTGCCACTGGCCTTCTTGTATCCCACCCATGGGAAGGAATCAGTTAGGTGACCTTTAGCATAATTATTTTAAATCTGTTAGGGCTTTTCCTGGTGTTTGTTCAGAACTCAAATTGAGTCCTTAGCCACAACCCTCTAGACGATGGAGGGGAATGGGGGTCCCTAGAGGCCCCACTCAAAAGACATAACATCAGAACGGAAGACAAGGTACCGCTTAATTATCTGGACTGAGGGCTAATGCCATCAGACATTTGGACATTGAGAAATGATTTTTGGTGCATAACAGAACCTTATCTAATGTTGAGAAAGAAGCTATTATTTTCCCTTCTGATTTTCTCAATAATGTGCTGACACACTAGTCCTTGAAGCCTTTCAGGGCTCCTTTTGAAACAAAAACTTAAACTTTGTTATTATTTCTAGAGTATGATAGTATATTCTAAAAGCCTCACAGTACAGAGGAGAAATCTGGTAGTTCTACATTTTTTTTCCTCTGAGTAATTTTGTTTACTACTACATTTGAAGAAATGTTTTAAAATTATTTGGGGGATTTATTTGTTTTTATTTTATGTGTATGGGTGTCTTGCTCGCTCATATGTGTATGTACCACATACACACCTGGTACTCGGGGAGACCAGAAGAGGGCATCAGATCTCCTGGAATTGTAGTAACCAATGGTTGTGAGCCTCCACGTGGGTGCTGGGAATTGAACCCATGTCCTCAGGAAGAGCAGCCAATACTCTTAATCACAGACCCATCTCTCCAGCCCAAAGAATTTCTTTAAAACAAGTAGCAAGTGACTAAATACCACAGAATGACTCCGTGAAAGGGCTTCCAAACTAGAGACCCTTAGGGAAGGCTTCTCTATCTTAAATATGTGCTATCTGTTCCAGCTAAGGATTTTCTACTGTTTGGCCAAGGTCCTCAGCTTAATTACCTAGGATTTAGAAGGATTAGGAACAGCAGCTGCACCCTGTTGCCACAGTCCCCATGATGGCCATGACCTGACTTGGATACATGGTCCATGTATGATCCTGAAACACCCAACCTGAGGATCTGGACTATGAAGCTTACTAAAGCAACACTCTCACCATGTGTACACTTTCAGATTTTTCTCTTTGATTTTTATCATTGTAGTCTGTAGCAGGCTTTCTCAGATCAACAGCCCCCAAATCATGACACGGAGACTTATTATTAATTATGAATGCTTGGTCTTATCTTATGTTCATTACACTATGTCTTACAACTTAATTTAACCAGTTTCTGCTCATCTATGTTTTGCCTAGGGACTTTTTACCTTTCTTTCATTCTGTAAGCCCTACTTTCCTGCTTCCTCCATGTCTGCTGGCTGGTAGCTGCCTGGCTGGTCCCTGGTGTCTCCCACTTTTTCTCCCTCATTCTCTCTTCTCTTGATCCTAGATCCCCTTCCTACTTATTCTTTCTGCCTGCTGGCCCCCACCTATCCCTCTGCCGCCTAGCTATTGGCCACTCAGATTTTTATTAGACCAATCAGGTGCCTTAGGCAGGCAAGATAAAACAAATGCAATACATTTTACATATTTAAACAAATGCAGCAAAAACAAATGCAACACATCTTTACACAGTTAAACAAATTGAGCATAAATAAATGCAGCAAACCTTTACATAGTTAAAGTAACGGTCCACAGCATAAACAAATGTAACACATCTTTATGTAGTTGAAGTAATATTCTACAACAGTAGTCAACATTATTTTCATTTGAAATGTGCTAGGTTATACTTTATCATAAGGATTTGTTTTTCCTTCATCTTTAAAACTACATCACAAGTGGCAGGGAGCCTGGGAGCAGATAGCTGGACAGGTGTTGCCTTTGTGTATCCACAGTAGTTTCCAAAGGGCATTTGAAAGGTTAACAAAATAAACATCTACTACATGCTCCTCTCATAGCATGGAGATGATCACAGCTTTCTTCCCATTACTACTGTTCTGACCTGTTAGAAGGCCATGTTAGAAGTCTCCTGCAAATAAGTTAACAAGCAGCTGGGTATTCTTAGTGGCAAAGTTGGAACCTTGTTTTCTCAATGGAGAGGAATTAATCTTTGCTTTGGAAGTTTTGTTGTTCCTGTGGGGAGGCTGATTGATAGGAGGCACCCCATCACCAATCTTCCTCACAGGGCCTTTGCACACTGCTAGATACAGCACCCTGTAAGCATTTGACTGAGAATTTTTGAGCCAAAATCCAAATTTCTCAGCTCCTTTGGGTTTCAGGAGTGAAGGAAAATGCCTCTCAGGATGTAACCATTCAAGGGCACTGTTCAAATAAGTTTTTTTTTTTTGTGTGTGTGTGACATCACAGCTTTACTGCCAGACCCTACTGATTTCAGTTTTGTTTTATCACATAATGAAAACTTATGGGCAGACAGGTATGTAGGAACTTTCTCTGTAAATATTTCTTTAAAAAAAAAAAAGAATAAAACATGGCCACTGTGCTGAGATGGGAACAGCCCTCGGTTCCCATCTGAGCTGGTGTGATTGTGTGTATGAGAACAGATTATGGTGTGAGTCCAGGGCTTTGGGGGGGTTATATCAGATAAAAGTTGCTTTATTATCCTTCACTTGGTTATAAAACCTGCTAATGTACCATCTGTTGGCTGTATGTTTAAAACTAATGGCTCTCCTTCCTTTTATTCTCTTTTGCTACCCTTTCCTTTCTGCTTGTCTCCAAATCGCTGCTCTCACCCTTGCTCCAATCAGCTTGACTCTCAGGTCAGTACTTTCAGTTTTCCTCTACCTGCCTCCCTCCTGGGCTCAGCTCACTGCTTGCATTTGTTTAGTGAGAGAGATCATTGTAATATTTCTCCAAAATAGGCTGCATGATGACACAATGTGGAGCTGGGGAAATAAACAATGCAAGCTGCTAAGTGCAACTGGGAGTGAGCTCCTCCCTTGCAACAGGTGGCATCACAACGAATGGAACAGCTCAAATCAAACCTTTTGAACCCTATGCTAAATAAATCAGTCTTTTGAAAGATCTATAGGACTCCTTTAAAGTCAGTTTTGAAACTATTGGTATGCTAGTTACATAGTGTAATACATTTTACTTCCTGTCATTATTTTAGTTTTGACTTGTTAGTTTAATTTTTATTGACTGGACATTATATTTTAATTACTCAGGGCAAAGGATGTAGAAACGAGTGTAAAACTGGATTCATTGTTGACTTGCACCCGAAGATTAATTAGAAAAGGGGACACTGTGTTTGAAAAATCTATCCCAGCCTTGGATTCTTCTACTGTTGGGGGTCCAAGTCAATAATTTTCCCTTTCTCAAATCAAGGAATATTTTTTTCTTTTAGAAATACATGGTAATTTAATGAAGTTAATAGTGAAATATTTAATCTAGCAGTGATTTCTTTATCATTCAAATAATGATTTTAATAAAGAATACTCATGGTGTGATTTGGGGCTATGTAGACTTCAGAAACATAAAATGAAATGAAAAGACCAACCCTCAGTTTGTAGTTGGTATAGTTACTCTTTTGAGAGACAAGCCTTATCTAGTTTTTACTTTTATGCAGGCTCTTCACTCTACTCTCTTCTGTCCCCTAAGCCACCAGCCCAGTGCCTTTTCACCAGCAGCAAATCATTTCAAAATGAGGCCTCCTGCTCACATATCAGTTTTGTCTCACCACCAGCTCCCAGCCCTGGTGGCTCTCAGGCCCTGAATATTCTCTGTGATTCTTGGGTACCACACTGTGGAAGCCACAAGAGCTGCCTGAACTTCATCAAAACCACACAAAACTCTAGGCTTAAAAGCTTCATTTCAGAGCTCCAGTCAGATCCCACAGCAGACGTATGGCAGTGTGCTCTCCAAAGATCCAGTGGCTCCTCGAATACCCTGGCATATAACCCGAAGTGGAACAGATCAATGTACCTGTTTGCAGAATTACCAATTTTACAATGAGAGGTGGGCAGGAGGCTTAGCCACTTGGCATGCAAACCCACCCTAGGGTTTGGATTCACTCATTCAATGAAGCTTTTAGCTTTTCTCCTTGCCTGCCTTTTCCCCCCTCATGTTTTCTTTCTCCCTTTTGCTACCCTTGATTGGTACCTTTAGATATTAAAGCCTTTGGAACAGGGCCTCGTTTGCTCTCAGGCCTTAGTCCCTTTGCCTGGACCTTCCGGATTTTTTTTTCTCTCATTTTATATAAGTAACTGAGATGGTATACTTAGTTTTTCTCTTATTCACAGTGTATCAACATGGACTGCTATTTCCAGTGTGGTACAAGGCTACAATTGACAGGAATTTGGAGTAACTAGTGAGTTTCTGGGTGAAAGGGCAGTGTGTGCTGATTTGCTTGGTAAAGTATACCTGCCAAATCTAGTAAATAAACTATACAGTCTAAATCAAGTTTCAGATCATTGCAATATCATTTAACCTATTGCTTCAAATGAACCTGAAGGAGAAAATTGCCCATCACTGTGATGTCTTTTTAGTATAGGAAGAACTGGACAGTCCTGAGCTTATGAAAGTAAAAAATCTGTAGGGACTTGGAAGTCTTTCTTAAGCTGTGGCAACCTTTCAGAATTAACTATGTTCCTCCTGCTACTATTTCCAGGTTTACCAGCCAAAATAAAATGAAATGTAACAATAGAATTGATTGCAGGATCTTTGGCCCATATGCTGTCTTTGTATGGCTTACCCTTAAGTTGTGTGTGTGGATGCATGGGTGCATGAGTGTACACACATATGTGGATGTATATATATACCATGGATCTTAGACATATCAAGTCTGATCTCTCTGAGCTTAGAAGTTTGTGGTCTGCCATCCGTGTTTCCACCTCTCAATCTGAAGTTTGAAAGGTTAATAACACTGGGGCTTTTCTACGTGCTCTGAACTCCATGAGAAATTCTCCTCTGCAAAAGCGTTCACAGATGACCTCATTTCCTTTCTAAACTCCTACACTTAAGCCCGGGTGGACATGTATTAGATCTGGGTTTGGTGACATGCACATGTCATGTTCTAACCCTGTTTGAGTCTCCACTTCAGTAGACGCATCTGTACAGAATCCTTTTGCACACAGAGCAGCAGGAACAGGAAAGATTTAGAACGATCCTCCTATTGTACTCAGGGGCAGGTTTATGTAAGATTTGCTCGTTTCTAACATGTGACTTATGACAGATAAGGTTATTGTGATAAATGCATGCAGGAATTGACTAAAAAAGAAACAATCCTATGGGATGCAGTTCAAACTCCTGCCAAAGTATCAACCAAATAAAGCCAGAAAGTTCTCCCAGCTTCTAGCTTCCTCTGGATCCTTTCTTAATTATTTCCCTGTTTGGGCCTTAGTGTCCCCTCATGGAAAGGAAGGAGTTGCTTTTGGAACAAACTGTATCGGCTCTGGGTGGCATATGTGTATCTTGTGTTCTATGAACATGCCAGGGGTGACAGACATCATGCATCTCCTTGTGAATAGCTGGTGCCTGGCAGCAGGCATAAGTCATTGTTGCAGTGTTGCTTCAAACATTTCTACCAAAAGGAATTGTTTGTGATGTTTCTCCCAACTGAACACCATGCTCTCTCAAGCCCTTGTTCTTCTAAAGATCAAAAGATGAACTCACCCCTCTCAGACATCAGAGGCCTGATGCTCAAGAGAGAAAATGAATTCCCTAGCTATTCTTTTATTGCCCCACAATTTGCTGGAGCCAATTCCTTGTTCCATCGCCCCCTTAAAAACATAGTGAGCACCTACTGTGTTCTGGGCTGGGTCACATGTGCTGGCATTTTAGAGAATAGCTGATGGAAGTGGGCTGGTGCTGAAGAATGGCATTACTCTTCTTAATGCTCATGATGCAGGTTGGTAAGTATCATAGTAATAATAATAACAGAAATAGAAAAAAACAGGAATGGCAGCTACAGAGACACAGATAACAGTCACCACATGCCAATGGGGAAATGATGACATTTGACATAGCCTCTTTTCATTACTGATTTTAAGGTTGGGACTGTAGTATCTTCCATATTAGAAAAGAAGAAACTGAAGTTTATAAAAGTTGAGTATTTGCCTATGTTAACATAGCCAGTGAGTAAAGTGTCCATTTTCTTCCCCAGCATCTATCTATCCTTTCTGACTTCCAAATGAGATCTTTCACTACTCCAGCCAAAGCTACTTTTGTAAGAGTTCCAAGAAACTCCCAAGTTAGGAAAGCTGGTTGGTTCTGTTCCATGCACTGCTTAGCAAACATGGTATGTAGAGAGAATATCCCAGGAGCTTTGGATGAATGGCCCAGACTGCTGTGCCAGCCCCTGCCTTCATGTGGAGCTTAGTTAGGAAGGTCATACTGGTCCTGCCACCCCAGCCCAGTAATGGATGCTGTCCTTCCAGTGCCTACCCATGGGTTCCTCCTTCCAGTGGCCCTCACCTGAGCCTGCAGTGTTTTCACTAGGACTACAGTGTTGTGTCCCACACAAGAGTTGCTCTTGAATGTGAGCTCTTGAAGGAAGGACCTTCTGTTAGTTTGTTCTCCCTTCCTTGATCCATCCTTTCATCCCCATATATCTTCAGTTGACTGTATTTGACAGTATCCTTTTTTTTTTTTGGTTCCCCCCCCATCCTCAGTTGACTGTACTTGACGGCATGTGCAGCACTATACTGTAAACTTAAAGAAAAGAAATTTTTCCATCAAGCTAGACATTTGAAAATTCAAGAAAAACAAAAATTAGACAAAATGGTGGTGGCGGTATCTCTATTCAAGCTACTTACTTCCTCCCTCTCACTTCCTTCTTTCCTCCTCCCTCCCTCCAATATACCTTCTCCTCTTCCCTTTTTTGCTTCCTCCTGGACTATTCTTGGCAAATCTTTTGATGGGAATATGGCAACAAAGCACACGACCTCTCAGCTCACCAATTCAAAGGCCAGCACTTCCTATAAGGAAGGATTTGGTCCCCAAGTAAAACAACTTATTCCAATACTAATGACTGGAAAAACTGGGTTTCAAGTGTCTATCAGCCCACTTTCCCATTGAGGCTAAAGGGGTTATCCACAGGTCAGAAAATAATTTCCCTCTTTAAAGCCACCTTGCACTGATGCTGATGTCTTTAGTGAAGTGTCAGAAAATTTTATGCCCAAGCAAAGCTGGTAGAAAGCCAGATAGCCTCTGAGTTTTCCTTGGGTACACATATTTTACTGGGGATGGAAAAAAGTTGTTTTCCCTGATTTACAGCTTCAGCAGACATAAAGTAGGATCTATATTTAGAAGTGATTTCGAACCTTTGAGGTGTAGCCAGGGGTGGCTGCTCATACCTACCCAGCCTGGCTGCAGTGGGACTTGCATGGTGAATGTTCACTGAGCCAGCTCTGATTTATGGAACCTGGGCTGTATGCTCCACAGTGTTTTCATGTTTTAGCTTTTGCCAGAGCTGCTTTTCCAGCATTCTTTCTGTACTCTCAAACACAGTGAAGATGGAGGGAACACAACTGACATGGTAGCTGAGATCTTTTGCTGTTCCTTTTGTTCCTGGGAGTAAGTGAAGCCATTTCTTAAGGTGCAGACCTGTTAGAACAGTAGCTATGGCAGGAGTTCATTCCAGGAAGCCCTCCCCAGGTCCCGTCCACAGTAAGAGATACCAAATTAGCAGAGCTCTTCGATAGTTTCTCCCTCAAGTCTTTCCCCCATTCTCCCTCCCCCTCTGAGCATTTGCTTGGTGCCACCATATGGATGAATATCAGCAAATAGTAAATCTCTCAAGACACGTTAGCCTTTCCTA